TTTCCCCCCCCCCCCATTGTTGCCCTTTCTCGGCTTCACCCAGTGGCTCTCCTTATCTCCTCGGCTCTTTTAAGATTGGTGGGAAGGGTGTTATCATATGACAAAAAAAAGCTTTCAGCACTCACATGTTCTTTGTGGCTTTTGGAAACCCTGCCCCAATAGTCTCAGGGACATCAGAACTTTCCTGGAAATGTTCTGCAGTGGAAAAAAAAGATGACAATAGTAAGGTGCTCTTTCAGCAAGGCGCCTAATCTTGAACTACACCCATGGGCCCATTCAGAGGCGATTGCTATGGTAACAGAGAGCAGCGATACTGACAGTCTTCCAGGTATGATTGTGTGATAGTTTGTGAATATGAAGTGCGGCATTGGGAAGAAGAGCCTGTGAATTTAGTCCACTCATTTGCCCGGGGCACGAGAGATACATTTAAATTCAATTTAATTGTGAAAAGAAGAGTGTGTGGCTGAGGGAATAAAATTGGTTTGAATTAAACTGGCCTTTGAATTAAATCACTGAATTAAACAGTTCACTGTGTGTGTCACACACAGTGAGTGAAGAGAGGTGGGTGAGGGTTAGAAAGAGACCAAATGAACCAGCTTATCAGAACCTTAGAAAGGACACAAGTTTTCTTGCTTCTTTGTATATGACTGTTTTTAAGTTACAAACAGCACTGCCTTGGAAAAGAAACTCTGAAGCAAGGCTGAATGATAATATGGAAACTATGGTGTGCTATATAGACAAAAGAATCTGGCCTTACTTCTTAACCTTTGAATTTAGGTTTGTTTAGTCAAGCGCATAGCCACGCAGTCTGCCTTTACAAACATTTGTGAATCGATGAGCTCGCTGAATTCCAGCTTGGTACTTTAATAGCATGCCAGATTCCTTCTCTCCTAGATATTCCATGATAAACTGTAAGTGGAAGCTTTTAGGAACCACAGGAACTCAGCCATGAAGTGTCAGACCACATGAAGTCACAGAGTGGGGTCATTTCACTTGATAACTGTAGAGTTCCAACCTTCCTCTGACATTAACATCAGCACAAGAAACTGTGTGCTGTGAGCTTCGTGACATGGGTTTCCAACGCTAAAGAGCTACTATAGGTTTAATTTATTGGTGGCCCAAGAAATAACGTATGTCTGTATGCCAATTCAAAGAGCAATAAAAAAACAAGACCATCTTAGAGTGGTTGATAAATAATATCTGGAAAGCATTGTTCAAAAGGACCCCAGTAAGTTAAAACTAAAGAATTATTGAATAACCACTTTTTTGTATTGAAAATACCAAGAAATGCTAATCGAAACACACACTTTTATGCACACATGGGTAAATACTCAAGTGGGCAGAGGGACTGCGGTCCAGTCACACTGCATTGCAGCCAATCGGCTAATTAGGACCATGGGAATAGTAGAGGGAATATAATCTGTAGCTTTCGTCATGACTCTGGTCACAGGATGACAGGGACTGACATTCAAAGACTGACAGGGTGGGGTTGTTTGTGTGTGTGTGTTTGTGTCTGGTTGGGGGAATAGATGAAATTAAAAAGAAGCACGCAGCGAGTAAGGAATGAAAAAACTGAGAAAAAAAAATAGCCGATGATGCATGCTGCCAGGCAAATGATCAGATAGACGGAGTGGAATGTAAACCGGGAGATGAGTCGACGTGAAGTTAGTCACACAGGCATATTAAAATGTTTAGAGGAAGCGGGAAACTTAATATAGAAGTGAGTGTCGGTCAGAAACATAACTGGTGGTCATGGGACAGAATGGGTTATAATCAGTCGAGGAGACAGTGAGCCATGTGTATTACAGGCTCACAGGATGAATGTGAAAGTGTAACCTTCCCCTCCAGAATTTTTTGTGTGTAACCTTCAGGCTGTCTGTCTCATGAGCCTCGTTAAAATGAGGCGAGATGACATTTTTCACCGTGAGAAGGGGCACATTGATACCAATCCAGGCTCCTTTTACAACCGTTATTTGGTATTTTATTGCTGAACTATCCGTCACGCAGTTGTTTTAGAGACCATGACAGCTAAACTACCCACAACCCAGTTTTTACTCGGTATATTAGAGCAGAACTCCCTGAGACAAGGTTTTTCTTCTGTGTGTTACAACCCAGAGCAGCTGTTGAGTCTCTTTTCTACTGACAGAAAATCTTTGGGTCAAGCTTCACTTTCTTTCTATATTAGTTGTTTTTTCTTATTGTTTTACCTTCATAGATTTTATTCTATGCGACTACATGAAGGCTAACAGCACAAACGGCAGTCGCTTAAGGCTGTTCTTCAACCCTCTTCGACTTTTCTCAGCACAGAAGCAGTAGTCATCCCCACCACTCTTTGCGGCTGATCATGGGTCTTTATTAAGAACTGTATCAGTGACTGACACATGACTGACCTGAAGAGGGAAAAAAACACACACAGTGGTCACATACAAAGACGCCATTTGTGGTGTACATGCGCTATGGTGAAATCTCTGATAGTAAACACATTATTGCGAGATGAAAGGCTGAAGAAAACATTTCCTATCGGATCTTCCCAAACAGTTTGATCTTTTTTTCATATATACTGTACAAGGCTGTACAAAAGTCTTTGGCAAAATGAGAAATGAGTGCAAACCTGAAAGGAAATACATTATTTCTAGTAAATATAGAAATAATAGCAGAGCCTATACAGCTCTGATGAGCTTGAAAATAGGGATTTCATAGTCAACTAAAAAAAATGAAAAATGTGATTAACTGACTCGTCTAAAACGAAGAAACACTCAGATATCAAGTTAAATTTGCAAACTGTTTAATGTCAAAATCTCTCGCTTGTTACTAAAATATGACAAATTAACATCCAAGAAGTGTAGCGCGTCGCGCCGTTCATTATGAATGATGCGTGCTGTTGGAAAATTCATGACAACCACTCAAATAGAAGTTAAAATTTAAAGTAACAAAATGATAAATCATCCATCCTTCTGTTGTGTTCTCCCTGTTCTCCCTTTTTTTGTGATTGGCCCGAAGATATAAATTAAAGTTAGTTTGGTTGTTTGCTAGGTTGTCTGTCACGTGTAGTCCAAGAATGGAGAAAATAGATGCATGCAAATATGCATGTGCAGCACTTATGAGTTAACAGTCCTTGAGATTATTATGTAATCCTACCTGGGGAAAAAATCGTACAGGGGGGGATTTCAGATTAAGATTAAGGGGGGGATGGATGGAAAGAAGGTCACACTTAAACACGTTAAAACGTCACCTTACACTTTTACCATTTTTATTGATAAAGAAACATTACACATGTTTAAAAGTGTCATAATATTTAGTCAGGATAAAGTAGGGAAAAAAATGGTGGTAGCAGGATGACAAAGTCACAACAAAACCTAAAGACAGGAATTAGGACTTTGTTTGGGGACTGTTGGTCTGAGCACTCTATCCATGCACAGTAAAGGCAATGGATTGATGTTACTGTATTTGCCAGCATGCTCTGACAAATGTTTTTTATGCTTGAGTGCATGAAAACATAGTAAACAAAGCTACTGTTGAGTCTCTTTTGCTTCTGGCTGCCCACTTTAGGGGGTGCTAAAACTTAAATCTTAAATCTTTAGGTGCGGGAAGTGATCTTTCCTGACTTCAGGCTAATATTAGCGTGGCAGGACCACACATGAACACAAATTTTGACAAGGAAAAAAATCGAAAACACTATAATTTTCTCTGATTCATGAACTGCCATGACTTAGACATTGTTATATAACCAGAGAGTGTGAGACTCAGAGAAACTAGCACAAAACTGATACTGAAATACAAGATAATTTAAAAAAAAAAAAAGTTGAAAAAGCTAAGTTGAAAACAAATCCAAGAGCCTTGGGAAAGAAAATGAAGGCAGAGGAGCTGGGTTACATCATTTATTTATTGAAAAAGTCCGTTCATTGCTGGGATAATAAGATTGTTGACTTCACTTAGCATTATGCAACGAAGAAAGAAAACAAATTCCTCCTACAACAACAGACTCGCACAAAAAGGGAATGAATTGTATGGCCGGAATCTGTGTGCTCTGCTGTTTTTCTTTTTTTTTTTTCTTCCTGCCTGATGAGGATATTTGTGTATTTACGGTTTCCTGGAGGAAACTGGTGGCTCAGTGTGTGCTTTGTGCGCGTGTCATACAGAGTCGGAGAGCGAGCGAGCGACCATGTGAGCAAGCCTGTCAGTATGCAACATGTCGAGCAGATGAACTCTGTCTCGAGGAGGACTACTCTCGCCAAGTTTGAGAAAGGAGGAGATGCGGCGCTCGTTCTTCTGCCCTCGTCGTCGATTTGTTTGTTTCTTCATTTAATTTACTTGCCTTGTTTTCTCTCTTATTCTGGAGGAGTGACCCAGAGGATGAAATGTCGTGGGATCCCCCAGGATTTTGGACCTTGTCTTAAATTTTGGACGCTGCACTTCTATTCATCTTTTGTATAAAAGGGTTTCCCCGCTGTTTTTTTTCTTCTTGTTCTTCCCTTCTCCCCCTTGTGGTATTTCCTGCTTTTATGTGTTGTTCTGGTCCCCTTCTTGAGTCCAGATGAGTGTGCTCCGCTGGCACCGGCTCTCTGCGCTCTGGAAGAACTGGATGTTCAACCAGGAGCCAGCAGAAGAGCAGGACCAGATCCCAGAAGCCCTAGGGCCCGAAGCAGAGCCACGGGGGGAGAAAGGGAACGAATTCAAGGATCACAACTCAGATTTGGAGAGCGTCACAGAATCTAAGACCCAAAGTTTGGGTTATAAGAAGCAGAGATCCGAATCTGACAGCCAGAATGTGGAATATAACAATCTGAACACACTCCCTAAGATCCAGAAGTCTGAACTGTTGAAACGTAGCTGTTCTGAGCCGTGCTCTCAGGTCACATACGCTGAGGATCGATCTTCCAGCTACCCCCAGACACCCGAAGGTTGTGGGGGCAAATCCCGTCAAAGTTTCTGCTCTGAGCAGAGTGTTCCCTGTATATTGCAGGTGGATAACGGCAGCGAGGGGGACGACAGCTTCTTGCAGAGGGAGGGTTCCCAACGGCGGTCCAGACGGCGCTTCAGAAGGGTCAACCCCAGGGGAGAGCGGGAACTCATCACAGACGGCCAAGACCCCGCCAGCTACAACACGGTAAGAATAAAAGCTTTATTAACAGCAAAGGCTAATGCTAACCACCCTCAGCATTTACAGTATTGACATGTTGCTTCTGTGTAAGTGGGAAGGCAATCAAAACGTACTCTTTGCCTCTTTCCAGTAGATCGCTTACACTGAGGCTGGTTGGGTTTTATATGTTTAAACAACTACTGTTTTTTCAGGGTCCTTTAAAGATCTTCACACATTTGGTTCTCTGAAGCTCGCTGACACCCCAACTATAATCATTAGCTTCAGTTTTAAAGTATCCTTGTGATGTGCACAGTGTGCAGAGAGCAGTTCATTCTCAATAAAGTTTTGGTTTAATGAATTAAAGAATAAGATGACAAAAGCACCATAAAGCTAGAGGGGGATGGTAAAGCGTATGGGGAAACACTGTTTCGCAGTTTGCATGCATTGCTCTGGTATTTAACTTATTTGTCAATGCCACAGAGAAAACAAATGCCGGAGGCATTGCTGTCTAACGTGCATAAAAGCTGAATTTTGTTAGGAAAAACAACGTTTCTCTGAAGGTCTGTTGAACCAAAGTTGTGTAGGAAAAGTATTAAAGCTGAGCGTGTAGGAACTTCCCTCTCTGCGATAGCATCACTGTGGCCAGAAGTGTGTCAGTTACAGTTTTAACTAATCACTAGAAGCCACGCTTTGCCACACACAGTCACAAAGGCGCGCACACACAAACGAACTTCCACACTCAGGTCATATGCACACTTTTCCCAGCTCGTGCAAAGCTCCCCGGAGCATTGCGACGGGGCTTAATGCAGAGTTTAAAGCGTCCTCTGTCGACCCTACCTGCCTCTGTGGTCTCATGGTGATTGTTCCACTTTTTAAAATTACATTTCTAGCCTTCAGCGTCGCCGAATCCCACCACATTCTTTTCTGTGACTGCCCTTTATTATGTAAAGGCTATCTGCTCAGATGTGCTAGCGCAGCGCTGCTCCAGAGAAGCAGGACTAAAACAAATGAGAAATATAGAGAATTACTTTAGGAGTGCATGGAATTGGAGCAATATTGGACAGCAAAGACTCAACTGACACAAGGGATTGTTGTTCTTTGACATGTGTTGCACAGTGGTGCGCTTGCCTTTGTTCATTAAGAATACAATGATGTCTTATGTTGTGCTAATTTCACTTTGACAAGATGTAGTTTGCATAATTTGCTGTTGTGACTATTTCTTGTTTCTCTTCCCTTTTCATGCAACCGCTCAGGATTATGTCAACAACCAGGTAGGATGAAATACAAGACATGAAACTTTTCTGCCTGTGTGTCTGTCTGTGTCGGGCGTTTTGTGTTCATGTCTCTGTCATGTATGTGTTCAGTGTGCTTGAGCGTGCATGGCTGTTTATATGAGTCACTTTGGGTTCAGGCACCTGTTTAGAAACTGGCAGTCCTGTGGGGGGGGGGGAGGTTGTCGTCGTCATATTTAGAGGCTGCCACACACACGCACACTGTGCTGTCTGCTGACACTGTGGGTGGCAGATAGGAATAAACAGACAGAGGAATTAACAGATGCATGCCGGGAACAACATTGCCTTGCTAGGCAGAGATGGGTTTAATGTAATAGTGTAAGTTTCAGATTCCCCCTCACATGGAAGTCACATCATTGGCACATGTCCCTCGAAAGTGGAAACTTGTGATTTGTTTTGTGCGATGAGGGCTGTCGGTGGCACAAGTTGGAAATTTCCACACATTACCCCACAAAATAATAATAAAAATCAATGCTTATTATGCCCCGATAGTCCAATCAAATCAGTCGTCATTTGTGACATAAAGGAGTTGCTTTAGAAGTGAGAAGCTTCTACTTGGCTTCAGATGAAACAGACACGTTAGCTTAAGTTCTGTGTCTGCTGCTGTGGAGAACAAGGTTTATTGATTTGCTGATTGATCATTGGGTCAGGATTTAAAGGTGACACTTTTCCCTTTGTAAAGCAGCTGGGCTAATGAGAAAAAATCATCCATGGTTTTCCTGTGAGACGCACGCAGTGTAATGTTAATGCGTCTGCGCCGGCGATGGCCGTTGCCGGAGGAGTAATGTTTTCACGTCGTCTGTCCATCCATCTGTCTTTCCGTGCGCTCCGTTTGTGCGAACACATCATCTCAGCAACACCTTCAGGGTACATCTTCAGATTTTGTGCAAATGTTCACCCGAACTCAAAGATGAACTCATTACATTTTGGTCCTCAAAGGTCAGAGTCACTGTGACCTCACGTCTTTCCCATTGTTATGTATATGATACAACAGGGATTCCTTTCACGAGGGCACAAACATCCACTTGGATTTGAGCCTTACTGGTTTGAATGATGATCATGTCAATGCGTTTGTGGCCACAAATCAAATCGCATGGTAGCATAAAACTGTCTGTAACAGGGGTCTCGAACATGCACGCGCCTCTTTGGCCCATCTCCAGTGACTTTGTGTGGCACTGACAGATAAACAAAGACGTAAACAGAGGTCGATATTGATCATTTGTAATTAGCATTGTAAGTAATTCTCTACAATCTGAAATTGTAAAGCTCTTTAGTTTACAAACCAAAAACAAAAAAAGGTTTTGATATTTTTATTTTCACACTTATTATTTGCATCATAGCCCACATCCGTCACTTGATGCCTTTTAAGTTCTCTGAACCTCAATAGCAGCAGCTAACACAGATGTATTCACTTAAATAGCTCGTCCTGAATTCAGCTGACTTTGAACTCCAATAAATCCTAAGAGGTTTGAAGAGGTAAATAGAGAGTTTAAAAATGTGTGGACAGCTTTCTTTGCTTTCGCTGCCAACGCTGTGACGAGGCTCGTCGGTATGCTTTATCCGCAGCTGGTCTGTTAGGATTTTTATTTTGGTATTTTAGTGTTCTTGTCAAAATCTGCCCAAAAGTGGCTCTTTTATGTGATAAAAGCTTGCCGACGCCTGTTCTCACAGGGAAACTTGATAAAATGCTGACACTATTTATCTAAAAGGTCAAAGGTCAAGCCGTGACAGACATGGATGTATACTCTAACTTGATTAGTTGGTGGCTGCTTACAAATATGAGACAGGGATTCTGTTTCTTTTTGTTTGTTTTCTGTTTTTTTTTTTTTTTTCTGGTTTCCCATTTGCGATGATATAGTGACAGCATGTGGATAAAACCCCTTTCTGTAAATGCATATTGTACATACACACGCTCAAAGCAGCGCTGTGGTTCTGGCAGTGGATCAGAGGATGTTGTTTAGAGGCCTTATTGAACCATAATAACATCAGTAATCCATTATCGCTGCTCTGTGCTGGTGTCTGGTGTGTCTTGCTCGCTCTTAATAGCTTCTGTTGGAGTGAATGAAGTTCCTGAAGCTATGAATTACGACGAGCCCAAAAAGATGATTCACAAAAACCCCGAAAAGGGGTATTTCTCCTAAACGAAGAATGCAACACAATAATTACAGTAATTATTATAAATCAAACCAATGAGTTGGGCTGCTGGCTTTAAATTTTAAAGTTTCAGAGGCAGAGAAAGATAAATGTCTGTGAGATCGATGTTTATTTTATTACCCACTGTTACTTCTTTTATTCTGTGTGATGACTGATACGGCTGCGATTGATCCAGAAACCTGACTCCTCTCTGCCAGCGAGGTGCTAGACAGAAGCTCCTGCGCTCTCTTATTACTATAACAGACCACTGGGATTTACTGATGACTCAGATTCACACACCCCCCCCACACACACACACACGTGTACACACACACACACATTCACATGCTGCACAGATACAGAGTCACTTCATTTAGACATCAGATGCTTCACCGGGTTACTGCCTTTCTCCTGCCGGGCTGGATAGATAGATGAACCCATCACCTCATTTGCCTTGCGGGGGAAACCTGCTCTATGGGCTTTTTAGAGCCAGGCCACTCCATGGAACCCCGGGATCATTAATTTAACATGATGCAGGTTCAGCCATCTGCACAGTTCACCACTAGAATAAAATCAGGAGAGTGTTGTTATGCTTCTTTTTCTTTTCTCCTCACCAGTTGGGCCACTTTCTCAGTTTAACTCGTGATTTTTCAGAAAAAATAAAAGCAGGTTGCCACGTGCAGGTGTTTGGCACATTCGATTTGCTTTCAAAGTCTTTGTTTTGAACATTTTGTTTTGGGGCTCGTTTGTCACTGTCTATGTGTGTGAACTTGTGATCATGCTTTTGGAGCATGAAGCAGCATCCTCTCAGCTGCTGAGTGTCGCTACACAACAGATCGGAAACACTCGTCTCTTGCAACGGCTGTGGTTACTTAACATCCTGGAGGCAAAACGTCTGACGTCTGCTGCTTTTTCTTCTTTTTTTCCTTTTCTCTCCACTCTACAAAACACGTTAGCATTCGTTTTTAATCTCACACTAAAAATGAGCCGAGTATGCAAAACTGCATTACTAACGAGAAACATCGGGCACTGATGTACTACTGTTAATTCCTCTAGATGGGGGGGGAAGACTGAAAGCTTCAGCTTCCTGAAGCCTAAAGTTGTATTTAAGACTATTGTAGTCACGTTCCACTGTCAGGTTGCCTTTACTGGAAGGCGCTGCACACAGGAAGGAGCAAATCGCACCAGTCTTGTTCCTAAATTGCAGCAACCCACACTGAGCGTGACGTGTAGCTAGACATGAATGAATGTTATTTATTTCCTCTTTTTACACTGTTAACTGGTTGAGTGGACTACAAGCACCACTTGGGACCGTACACCTCTATCAGTATTTTGTGTTATACAAAATTACAGATGCAGTTTTGACTGCTGGGCCTTATTTTTTATTTATTGGTGATTGTGTGATTTGGGCGTAAGGAAAACAAATTTTGTCTCTTACAAACACACCTCCCATTGCTTAAAAGCTTGATTAAATTGTTTGTATTGTATTACCCATTTAAGACTTTCATTATATTATAGAGTTTCCGTTTAATGGTCCATTAGGAGTGACTTTAACGCGGTGATGTCGTCTTCAGCTGTATCATTTTAACTCAATTTGATGAGCTTGTGCTTGTCATGCAGCTGCAGTACTTAGGTTACCTCACTGCTTAGAATCAGGTTAAATCTAAGGTTGCATTCCTCATGCGGTGACTAGGTGTGACTCATACACATGCTTTGTCATAGCAGTGTCAACCTGGGGATGTGAGAAGTATTGCTCTGCATCATCCTTCACCTTCCCCTGAGATTGGAAAATCACTAAGATGAGGCGACACAAAGATGCTTTCTCATGTTTGGTTGCTGTTTTTGATTAGACGGGTCTGCTAACCAGGCCTGGGAGTTTCTGTGATTTTTCTCCTTGGCTGGGGAAAATTTCTCTAACTTCCAACAGGCTGGTTTTAGCTCACCAAGCAGAGTTTGTCTTGGCATTGCACACTGATGAAGTTGTTAAATTTCCGATAATATTCCTGGCTTGGTTCTCGTTGTCATTAGTGTGCTTGCGTGCGTGGTTTCACAAAGCTCACGTGTGCCATGTGTATGCTTAATTCATAATGTTTCGGGGATGTGTCTGGCTTTTCAGTTTTGCTTCACATCCGTGGATTTAAATGTCCATACGTCCATTATGGCACCTTCGTGGATTTCTTATGTAGAGCATATTTGCAATGCAAACTATTTAACTTGATATGCTGACATTTTTCCCCCCATTTACATATCAATAAGGCATAAAAATACACGATACCTGCATTCTCTTATGCCAAATTATTTGTAATAATTCAAATCATTGCCACATTACATTTGCTCCTAATTTTTCCTTTTAGTAAAGTATCCAAATAAATAATCGGCAGGACAGGATTTTAAAGGGCAAGCGAAAATCCTGTTGGCATTCAGCAGCCAAGGAAAGAGAATCCTCCTGACGAGAGGAGTGACAGCTTTATTTTGATGTAGATTGTCAAATGTCTTCTCACTCTCACACATTTTGTAAGGCAGAGATGCCATAACAGCAACCTTTAAAAATACCTAAGAGGGAGGGGAAAGGGGAGGGCAGGTAGGATAGAGCAGAATGGGAAAATAGAAGTAGGCATAAGATGACAAGCATGAAGTGGTGAAAAGCAAATGGAATGATAAGTTAACAGGGACTAAAAAAAGATACTGTGAGATCTTGTATATATGCATGAGAAGTTGGCTGAAATGAAGCAGAGGGGTTACGGAAGGAACAAGGAATGTGAAACAGGGGTTGACAGTTTATGGAAAAGATGAGTGGGTTTGCAGCTGAAGGTGGAGCGGTAAGTTGTGGGGATGGAGAGCTGAGGCAGAAAGGTAAGGTTGTGGGAAGGTCACATGGGAGTGAAGGAAGTGGGAGGATGGGGTGAGGAGAAAGCAAGGTCAGAAGTGGGGGTTTTACAAGGGACCAAAGGAGTGAGAAGAAGACTAACTGGGGTAAATGGTAAACATAATTTGTGAAGTTATTTAAGTGTTAATGAGTGACATATTTTCACACAAATAGCCGTCAGGGTGCAGCAGTCCTCTGTTTACGTCCTCAAAATCTGACTCAGCTAAGTGTTGAAGGAGCTGAATGGTGCCCCGGCCCTCCTGCTGCTGCTGGAGTCCCGCTGCACTCATTGTTATGCACAGAGCACACACGAATACACAGGTTTTCTGTGAGCTGCATGCCCGCTTTCTTAGCATGACACAACAAGTACAAGGCATTTATTTCCACTGGCTTTCAAACGTCGGCAGACATCGTGATCGCGTACATGCGGAGTATAGTATGCTGGGCAGCACAGTGTACCAGTGGGGCACTGTCTGCGGCTGTTGTTGCTGCTAATTTTAGGGATTACATCAGCAGCACTAAGATGACAACCTTGTTGAACTCTCGCGCCGTATTTCTCTCTGCTTCATCTCTTCTCCTCCTCCTTCCAGCTCTCCTTCCTTCCTTTCCTTTCTCTCTTCTCTTCCTACCGGTTCCCCTTCCATCATCTTTCCTGCTTGCTCGTCCGCCCCCCATTTAACCTTACTGCGTATGTTTTCTGGGCTTTTCCCTTTTTTTTTTTAATGCTTTCCTAGAAATTGAACACAAGCTACACTTTCGATTTTCATCAGCTCTCACTAGATCTGAGTGTTTATAACTTAATCTTAATGTGTAAAGGTAGGCAGTGTGAGCTGGAGGACATTTGAGCCTCTCTACAGTTCATTTTGTCTAAAAGGCTCCGCACCAGAGCAGGGGAACAGAATCAAAGTGTCCTGGCAGTAGAAATAAATTGGTGCCGAGCGCTAAAATAAAACACAACCTACATTCTGGAGGAAAAACAAAGGCTTCACTCTTCCTCAACTCCTTTTTCCTTCTCCTCTGTACGCTCCTGTTTGTCTAAATCTTTCACCCACACTCAAACATTTTCTTTCCTCTCGCGTCCTATTCTCTGACTCACTGTCTCCTCTTGGTTGCTGTCAGTATGTCTCCAGTACTGACCTTCGAGTTCTTATTTTTTTTCCGTTTCCTACTTTGTATGATGATGATGATGCTCGCCCATTGTGTACGTCGCATCAGCCTCCGCTTCAAGGTTTCACAGCCCCAGTGAACCTAAAGGTCAAAACAAAGTGTGTGCTTCCAGTTTATCTGGCACATTTGTAAGTTTACCTCTTGCAGCTACTTTCTATGATTTCACTCCCGTTTTTGTCCTTTTATTGGTTTCTTTTTTCGCACCTAGGCTTTCTACACTGCAATCGCCGTCGGCCCTCTCTCTGCAGGGAGAAGTCGGAAAGGGAAGGGCCGGTTTAAATAGCAGGAATTCCTGTCCCGTCTTTCTGACAGACAGGCAAACACGGGGCTGAGTGCTTACGCACGGCAACACACATGACCGCGTGGCTGCAGCAGGCAGATTCTCTTAATTGAGTCTCTGTGCAGCATACTTGAATGCGTGTGTCTGTTTGTCTGCAACCGACTTGCTGTGCTTTGTGTCCTGCTGAATACGAGCAAGGGATCAGACTTGATTTCGAGCAGTGGCGCAGCCCTGTTAGCTGGTGTGAGGGGGCATTATAATAGCAACTAAAGGCACAGAGTCAATGTGAACTAATCGCTGATGTTTCTGTGCAGTGTTGATTGGTTGCACCGGCCAATAACTTTCAATAACTCAGCACTTCTTTGTGAACACATGTCTGTGTGTTAAAGAGCTGCAGCAGCTTTAGTCAATGGATTCCTTTTAATTAGACTGGCAGAACTGATCGGCTGTGAGCACAAGCTAGCTGAAGACAACATATGCAGATGACCGCTCTCTGTTGGGATGCATGTGTATACAAATTAGTGTGTAGTGTCCCACGGGGCATTTTTCTCAGTAGCATCACGCTGAATGATAAAACAGATACAGGGCCCCGCTCTGTAATCACTGATCCACACACCGCCTCTGTGAGTGTGTTTAGTCAGTGCTTGAGTTACTCATATGTTCCAGATTTAAAACTCTTTTCCTATCTTTGATCTCTCATTTTCTCTGTGTTGCTTTTTCCCCCTATCCTTCTGCATCGTTCTCTAGTCTTCACTCATACATCTTCGGCCTCTTTAGATCCATCCCAGTATTTGTTTTCTGTCTCACTTTTCTCTCTGGGCCTCATCCAGAAAGCACTTACCTTACCAGACAGCTGCACACACACGCACAGACACTCAGTCGCAGGCCGGCTGTTCCAGGAAGCGTTTCCTGCGTGACGTGTTTCCTGCTCCGTGTTTTGAAGACACATTCCACATCTATGTACAGTTACAGTAAACGGTCGTCTGAGAAGTCGTGCTCAGACTACGGCGCTCGTCTTTACTTTTTCTTTTTCAGTTTGAGCTGAATGAGTCACACGGCGAGACGACTGACTCCTCTGAACTTGTCTTGTTTTGAAAGTGCTTAATGGTGTGCTTCTGCAGGCTGCTATGTGGGACTTTTTCTTGTTATGGAAGTTTTATGAAAGTCTTTCCAAACGTGTGGATGTATTTTTATTTATCTTCATTCACAAACCCACCAGGTTATCAAATCTCCAGAATAGCGAGTATTATTAAAAAAAAGAAGAAGAAGAAGAAGAATTTGAGTTATTTGTTTTTTATTTTTCAGTATGAGGGAAGCATGATTGAATGAGTGCTACATTTCAGAGTGACTACAGTGAATATTACTGAAGAGGAAACCTTTTGGTGACTTTACTACATTCATCTTGCATCCTTTGACTTGTAGGACTTATGCGCAGTTTCCAGGTTCTTGCAACCTTCATTGAAAGTTTCTTTTTGAATTTTACTGTACGCTAGTGTCATTTATATATATTTTTTTTATTTTCCTGCCATTGTGTCATCTAACACACCACAACTGCCACACCCACATGTGTAAGATTGATCTGATATTTTTCAGTGAGCAGCAGAGATTTGTTTTCCTCTCCTGAGTCACATGAAATAAAATAGATAAACGGATTAATAATAAGAATTAATGTGTTCCCTCAATTATTGATAAACACATCATCAAAAGTTTAGTTGCTAATGATTATTAATGAATCTGTATTTCTGCTCTAAATGTGGACTGGACTGGCATTAATGTAGTATTTTTCTTATCATACTGACCACTCAAACCACTTCAGACTACAAGCCACGTTAAACTCTTCTTCCTCTACTTCTTCTTCTGCTGCTTCTCCTTTTGACCGCTCCCTCTAAGCAGGTTATCTTCCTCTCTCTCTCACATCCACCTTCTGCATGTCCTCGTTCTCTGCATCCATGAATCTCCTCTGTGGTCTTCCTCTTTTCCTCTTGCCTGGCAGCTCCTTCTTCAGCATCCTTTATCCGGTCCTTCTGCACATGTCTAAACGGTCTCTATCTGAGGTTTTGCTGAGGTTTTGTACGTTAACAAAAATGTTAACGTACATTCAAACAGTTCTTTATTCTGTAGATGTTCAACACTTGATCTGCCTCACCAGTTATTCTAACATCATGTCTTTGGACTGTGAGGCAACAGTGCTAACTGCTTCTAACCATTGTCTGAAACTGTCTTCAGTATGTCCCATCACACCCACGAGAGCTTAATTAGTGCTGGGTCTTTTTTGAGGCTAAGCTAAGAAGATGATGTAGTGCTGCGCATGCTACCCTTCAAAAGGGGATAGACTGCAGCTCGTACACACTGAGACACACATGCTGTCGGATCATGGCTTTCTCTTGCTCGCACACACACACACACACACACACTGTAAACACTCACAGACAGAGCCCTCCATTAGTCCCAGAGTCTTTAATCCAGTCAGTGTTCGGTAATTTCATTCATGTGGAGAGGTGGAGGTTAAAGGGTGTGTGTCTATTTGTGTGTTTCTGTGTGTCTTTGTGTATTTCATCTTTTTAGTCCACTTCAGGCTTAATTCTGTGTCTTTGTCTTTATCCCTCTGTTCCGGTATATGCCTCTGTTTGCCCACTTATCCATTTCAAGCTTTCTTTTCCCCCCCCCTCTCCTCTCTGTCTCTCTTGTACATAACGCTCCTCTGAAGGCTGGGCTCCATGTGCTTCCATCCGATTGGCTGCCGATTAAAACGATGATGTCATTCCTAGTTGGGAGGTGTGTTTCGCCTCCTATGCACACCCACAGAGGAGGGAGAATTGAGGGTAGAAATCCTGGTTCACAGCAGCGAGCAGGGGAGCAAAAAAATAGGAGCGTGGAGAGGGAGTGAGTGGGTGATGTAGACAGACATAAAAAAACAAACAGCATAATGAAGGGAGGAAGGTCAGAAAGACAGGGAGAAATGCCGAGAAAGATTCTCAGCTCTCTGATGTGTCTGATGCAAGCTGGCATCTCTCCTGTGCTCGAGGAGAATCGGCCATTCAGACAGCCAGACAGCTCCTAATGTCTCCTGCTTTCAAATCTTCCCTCCGCTGGCTCATCGTTGTTTGTGCATCAGAACAGCTACAGTATACAGGCTGATATATGATATATGGTGTGGAAAAACACAGATAAACACACATCTTAGAGAAACAAATGTTGCATGTGAAAGTATTGACATCTTTGATCCTGCAGAACATGCGGTTTAAAACAATTTAAAAAAGTGTCTTTATAGGATAGTTTAAAAGGTACAAAAAATAAATAAATTGGAGTAAAAAGAAGGAGTTTGTATTTTGAGTTTGTATGGATCTTTATTTTTCAAAAATTGAACTTATTTAAATTTTCTGACTATTAAAAATTATGCTCTGGGCACTTAAACTTGTTGCAGCTTCCTTAGGAGATGCATGTAAATATGAAAAGAAAACTAGATTATGAGATTTTTAACTGTGTCCTTCATTAAAATAGAAAAAGAAACTCAATGCAAACATTTCAGAATCCAGAGAAAACGAGGATTTTGTACCCCTGAGGTGTTGAGTCACAACTATTGAAATATGAAAGGAAAAAAACCCCAAAATAAACAAAGCGCTGTTTCATGACGTGGGTTTTCAATTTGTTTTTCTTAAGTTTCCACCTCATTTGCTGTCATTAAAAGCATTGTTATTCTAATTAGGAGCTGATTTGGTGTTTGGGGGGAAAAAAGGCTTCCAGTTGTTGAGGTTGCATGTATTGTACGCCTTTTGATTAGAACCTGAAAAAATACTTGTGTCATTCCAACTTTCTTGGGTGGTATCCCACATCTGATGCATAGTAGAATAAACCCCACTCAGGATTATTTGTAGTTCCTGTCAGAACCAGGTCCGCTTCAAATTGTTTACAGCTGCGGTTCTGCTCAGTCTAATGCCTTTATTACCTCAGTATATTTGGCCAGCAGTGTACTGTATTAGAGTGAGTTATCTGTGATTAATGTGTCTTTCCTTGTACTCAAATTCTTTCTACTGTGTCACAAATCTTCTAGATGCGGGGGCTTTTTAAAGGGGGTAAAAGAAAAAACCCCCCAACTATTATCGCCTTGTGCTATTGTGTCACATGTTCACATTCTGCAAAATACAGCCAGTGCCTGTCTGTTTTATCTGATAGGGACTCTGTGATTTATACCCACCCCCCTCTTTTTCTGTGTAATTTATGCGGCATGCTCACAAAGGGGAGGGGGTTGCCTCAATACACTCAGCTTTATGTTACCAGCAGATCAATAAAGATGCTCCCTCGCTTTCCTCTCTATCTGTCTTTCTCATTCTCCCTCTCCGTCCATCTCTCTCTCTCTTTCTCATCCACATGTGCTCAGCAGCCAATACATCTAATGCAGTTTCCCTCTGCTATCTTCATCCCTGCCACCTCCCATCCCATCCCTTTCTCTCCCTTTCCCCCGTCTCTCTCCCTCCCTCGCTGCACAGGTGATGTCATTCTTTTCCAGCTGGATTCTCCTCCCTTCTCCCTCCCTCCCCTCGCGCTCGCTCTCTCCTCCGTTCCCCATTAGCGGCTGGCTCTCCAAAGCGCAGCATCTATCCACAGTAGCTTCTTTTCCCAGGGTTGGGAGGGGGATGAGGAATGCCGGTTTGAGGTGTGAGCGCTAACCCAGGAGGAGAGCTTAAAGCTGGGGTACAAGGAGCAGGATCACTGGCCCCATGCCATGGAGCTGCACTGCTGGGCACACACTTACACCGCTGGAGCTTTATAGGCAGGAAAGAGTTGCAAGGGGCAGAGAGAGGAGTTTGACAGGCAGTGAATGAAGATCAGAGAGAGCTGCAGGCATCGGTCCTGGCTTTTGGGAGGTGAAGGGGGCATTGTTTGGATGACTTGAAGCCTGGCAAGAGGCTCCTTCCCAGGGGGCTGCAGATGCACAAACAAGCCCCCCTCCCCTTTTTTCCCCCCACATTTTTTTTCTTAAATTCAACACTGGCTCATCTACTGAGGAGGGAAATCTGAGCTTCTTAAAGAAGTAAAAGAAATCTTGAAGAGTTGACTTAATGAGTTTTTGCTCTGGACTTTTGACAGACAAACTTGCATATTGAACTGGATGGCTTTATCTTTGGCCATGCAACTTCCTTCTCCTTTGGATTCAGTTTTGTGTATTCAGCAGAATTTTTTTCTTCTTCATTGAGGTTTATCAGCGTCTCTGTTGCAGTCTCTTGACAGAGAGAGAGAGGGAGGGAGAAAGCGTGACATATGAATGGATCTGCGTTGACTTTAAGTCTCTTTCTGTAGTGATATCTGACAGTCATCCAGTGAGGCTTCCGTTTTTTTGTTGGTTTTTTTTACGGCCAAATCAAGGAAGGTTTTTTTTTTCTTTTATTTAAAATAAACCACAGCAGCAAAGAGCGTGGTGTCAGCCTTTGCCCTTCTTTTACTTATTCATTTTTTTTCTTCATCTCTTGGTGAACGAGGGGAAACTTCCCCTCGCTGGCACCCTCCCTCCTGTGGAAATGGCTTTCCTGGTCCGTTGCTATGCCAACTGCTTGCAGCCGTGGTCCTCCAAAGTAAGCGATGTCGTAATCCCTTTTTTGGCCAGTGCCTCTGGCTTAGGATGCTGCCGCCTCTGTGTGTGCATGTGCGTGTGTGTGTGTGTGTGTGTGTTACTGAGCGAAAGATTGGGTGTGGATGAGAGAAACTGAGCTCGATTCATATGCATATGCATTTTATCTGTTTAGAGACGCTTGCATGCTGTGCATGTGGCTGTAATTTGAATTTTAACCAGTGTTCTGCACTGAAAATGACTGATAGCCACAACTACTGGCACCATGCCAAAGCTTTTTCAAGGAGGAATTTAAAAGCTAATAATATGCACAGAATAAAGCTAAAGAAATGTGTCAGTAGTTCAAAAAATAAGACGACTTTGTGTCTATGTGGGGATATGCCTCCTTTTGCTTGGACAGTGCTCAGTCAGCCAGGAGAATGAACCTGATATTAATCTACATTTGATGCTTTGATTTGTTGGAGGCATTTTTTCTGGCTTTGCACCAAATATTGAATTGTTCTCAGCAGCTGCAACAACAAGAGCAAACGGATCAGAGGGGCTTCCAAAATATGTTGCTATGAATTATGTGTTTTGATACCGCTTTTTTATTTTTTTTTTTTATTTTTTTAAACTTTGGCTTATATCATAATTGCAGGTGTTGGTGTAAAGGTGTTGAGCCAGACTGCACTATTTAAAACATGAAAGCGCACATGCACTATTTGTAAAACCTTGAACTGTTTGTCTTTATGGCGAAAAACTCTCCGTGTAAAGTTACAAGCAGTCGAGTCCTTGGTTTGTGCAAAATGACATTTATTGGTGCTTTTCTTTCAGTCGGTGCATACCTGTTAGCCATCTGATCTGGTATGTCTGGTCTGTATGTTGCCTCCCTGATGTCAGCACTGAGCTGGTAATGATGTCGCTATTTGTATAGTTAACAATTACATGTCCTAGTTTGAAGTTCTTAAGATAATTGGCTGGAGGTTGTTCCTGGTGAACTTCTTGGTGAGGAGAGTTGCTACAGTGCAGTGAAGTACCAATTCTGTTCTATTGTTTGTTTCTCTCTTCTCTTTCTCTATTTGAATAATTGAAAAAAGAACCTAGAGGGTTATCTGATGTCTCTGTTCACAGCAGAATGACTGTACCTTCTACCTTATATGTCTGTCTCTTTGGGAGCAAGAGTCTAGGTGCTGAAAGCCTCAGCTTCATTGTGTGTGTGTGTGTGTAGATGCTTTCAGTTGGATGAGTAATAATTAGGTCCCTGGAGATGTAAGGGGATAAAGCGAGAAGATGTTAAGTCTAAGAGAACACATTAAATCTGAACCACACATAGTACAGAACAAACTCTTAAATACCTTGTTACCCTTCTTTATTGCCTTTCCTTCCTTGTGTGTTCCAAATTTTACACGGAGTGCTCGCTGATTACAAGGTATAATGTATCTTCTGCTGAACATAAACCTAAAATCTAATTCTGGAGGGTTTTCTTTTCCTTTTTTGCTCCTTTCACATTATGATAGCTCAACCCCCGCAGCCATGTAAACACTACTTAATGGCAGCATTGTATTCACTTTCAAATTTCCCATAGTTTTCCTTGCATTAGGTTGTATTTTATGAGAACTGAAGGAATGGGATTTTTCAGGCTAATGTCAGTTATCCTGCCAAGTCTGTTTCTGATCAGTCAAATATAGTCGTTAAACTTTAGTCACAATTAATGAATCAGTAGTAAATATAACAAATTCATGACGCTTAAGGGGATTTTTTTTTTGTTTTGGTTTGTTTACTCATTTAAACCACTGATTGGGTTTTTGCTTTAATCAAATATTAGTTAATTAGCATTTTAGGGATTCATTATCATTGTTTTTGCAGCAGCTTAGCTTGTTTATCTGGATGTTATTACTGTTCCTTCTACCGGCTGCACACGCAGAGCTAATTTATCCTCCATCTACAGCTGTTAAGGTTTCATCCAGCGTGGCCCGTTTGAAGTCCGTACTTAATTGGTCGGCGTCTGTGATGAGCCCACCTTTTGCAAAGGTTAATTAAATTTCCCTGGTTCCTCTTATTACTACTGCTCTTTCTGAAGGTGCAGTTGCAGTGCACAGACACGGCCGTGTGGGGTTTAAAGGAAACAGAAGCAAATCGAAAGTGTTAGCGTGGACTCCAGTTGGGGTTTTTTTCCTCCTTATGACAGTGTAATTTCATCCATCGTGAGATCTCAGGGAGGAAGGGATGAGGAAAGGGGCAGGGCGTGATTTGAAGATAAAGAACACAGCCAGAAAAGAAAGAAAGAAGGCAAGAAAGAGAGAGAGCGATAGGAGAATAACTCAATGAGTATAAGAAAGTACTTTTAGTCCACGAGAGGGTTTCACAATTTTAGAATTGACGTCCTTCTCAGAAAGGCGGCCAATTATTTTCTCTAGAAGTGAGCCTCCTTTTGAAAGGTTTTGGCTTTATTGAACAGGCTGGGATTGGCGATTTCCTTCCTTGCTGTGATCTCGGATTCATCTCGAATGATTCACCGGCCTCTACAGCACCAGTGCAGTCCATGCAGCTTCGCAGTGAATTATGGCGAGTCCCTATTTTAATTTGCCTAAACACAATTAATAGCCCCGATAGCTGAACAAGCTGGGCTGCCACTGAAGATCTAAGAGTCCAAAAACATAGCGTAGGTTATTTAATTCAAACAAATCACTTAGGTTTACTCAGCTGCCAGCTGGCTTTTACAGTCTCCAGCTTGGATTACTACAGACTTGGAGAGGAACCCCTGTGAATGAGCTACAATGGAAACTAAGCAGCTTATTTTGCCATGTTAGGTGTCTTTTTTTCAGTATTATTCTAAAAAGCAGCTCTTACCATGCTCACTTACTCCAGCTTCTAACATCAGAGGGTTAGTTATTGAAATATTGACTGAGTGGCTGGAAATTTGGCATCAGATGACAGGCAGCCAAATGTAGGCCAGTGGAGCTGTTCTGTGGGTTTCTCTTCTGAGGGATCAAGGCCTAGATTTATTTACTTACTCCAATAAACACCCTGAACATTAAGCTTGAGGTCTTTTTTTGAGGAGGGGGGCATAGTCGCCTTTAGAAGGCAGTTAGTTGTTTGCTTTATAAGGAGCTTTCAAAGTCTTGCTTGGATTTTATAGTTTTATTGTACAGTGTTTCTGGATGAACTGTCCCTTTAAATCACATCCTGCTCATCCCAGCGGAACACAACCTCAGTCTACATCCTCCCGATGCTGGAAGACTTGTCAAAATGTTCTGCTGCTGAACTCTCTGAACCTCCCTGCTGCTTACATGAGTTCTCTGTTGGGCTGTCTCAGCTTCCTCTGTTTTTTGTTGTTGTTGTTTTTTGTCACTTGCGTTTTCTCTCACTGTATCTTTAAATCTCATTTCTGTTAGCGAGAGGACTTCCTGATGTCTTCCTCTTGCCCCTTTCATTTCTTTCTCAGGGACTCCATCCTCTTCTGCCTGTCCACCTCTTCTTCTCCCTCTACCTGCATCTATTATTAACACGTCAATAACGGGGCCCATGTGTTGTTGTCATCCTGATGCTGCCGCTGCCACTTCTGTTGCTACCCTGCTGGGTTTTATCCTCACTCACGTGCACCTCAGTGTCTTATAAATCACACCAACTCTTCTAAAACCAACCTCTGCTCTCTGTTTCTGCACCAAATCCCACCCGTTACTTATTAACCTTCCAAGGTCTCGTATGTTCTTTCGACTCCTTTTTGCCGTCGCTCAAAATCAGATTCACTCATGTTTCCTCCAACTTGTAATGCTGTTTTACCCCTCTGGATCGCTGTGGTGTGAATAAATAAATAAATAAATAAATTTATTTATACTTGTACTAGATAAGATTTCTTATTGAAACAGGAAATGTCACGCTTTGCTGATAAGAGGATTCGTGCTCAAAACAAGCACATAACTTAGGTTGAAAGTAATTTCCTCCTCAGCTGCAGATTTCTCTGGCATAGGCCACCAAGTCCAGACTCGTGGCTGACCCAGACTGCTGCATTTGCTTCACTCAGCAATCAATGGATCTTGCTGAACATTGACATAATCAGCTTGTATGGACCCATGCTGGGTCGAATAGTAATGGGGCTTCAGAGGCATTGGTAGAGGAGAGCCAGCGTGGGATGATGGATTTAGTGCCAGAGCATTCAGACCCAGGCGAGGCAGGTCAGGGAGATGGACAGGTAGGGAGACGAAGCATCTGGCATACTTTATTTGCAGCAATAACAGGAAAACTGCACTAACTCGTTATCACGCAAGATGGGACTGATCAAGTGAATGGCTGGTTTAGTAAAATTTAACAGGGTCCAAATTAGATTTGAAAGACCTTAAATTGATGTAAATAGACCTTTCAAAATACTTTGCATGTTGTGTAAGATTTATATGATATGTGTTTTAGCTACAGTTACTGATCTGCCGTCACCATCAGATCAGACTGGATAGATGGCTATATTAAACTGCTGAAACTCTATTGAGTGGAATGCGGAGATTAATTATTCGTCAGTGCAGTCTATTGACCCTTTGCTTAGTGCTGTGGCTTCATGCCCAGACATCCGTGCAAGGCTGATTAGGAACTGAGCACCTTCAACATTTGTTTTTCTTTTTCTTTTTTTTCCCCTCCAAGGGCCAAAAATATGGCACGAATTCTTAACAAACAGCAGTGCAGTGGTTAGCACAGTCCCCAAAAACAAAAAGCTCCTGCTCTCCCCTGTTCCCACCTTCGCCCTGTGTGGCTTCTCTCTGGGTTTGGTTTCTACCTACAGCCCAGTGACATGCTTGTTGGATACATTTGTGATTTAAAATGAGTGTGAATGTTGTTCGTCACACTGTTAGCCATGTGATAGACTCATGGCTGGACTCCAGCACTCCTACCACCATGTATGAACGTGAACTTGGAAAATCAGTTTAACACTGCTTTTAGTGTCATATTCGAAATAAAAATGCTTTGCAAAGACGAGTTTCTAAACACTTCCCATAATGACTTGACTTGAATGACTTTTGACCAAAATTTCAGCAT